CCTGAACATGTGTGTTAATTTGGATTTTCTTTCGGAAAGGTAGAGCTATTTTAATATTCAATCCAGAATCCATGGGCAAGCTAAATAGAAACACAATGCACCTGTTGCTTTTAAACCTCCAATTTTGGGGGCTCTTTCTCTAGGCATCCATTGAATTTCCGTATGTCTTTGTCTTGCTTCAGTCAAAGAAGTGAATAAAAGTTTTGTATGTTTAATTAGCAAGAGGTATTTAAAGAGTCACTTAAAAAGGAAGAATCAACAATCCTTTTGAATGTGTAAATAAAAGTTCCTTCCATACAGTGCTGAGTACCTGCTATTTTGTAATATTTTCATGAGTGATTCTTTGAAATCTATAAACCACCATATCAGTTATGGTGATTTAATACAATTTCTCTTTCAGGAAACACATTATTTTTGATATTTATTGAATTAAGAATTGTGTTTAATGGCATGGTAATACAAAAGGAATTTTTCATTTAGCGAATTGGCAAAGTTTAAAGGGAGGTAATATTTGTTAACACTGAGATGGTCACTCATGTGATTTGAGTTTAAACTGAAAGAGCCTTGCTAGAAAAAAAAATTGGCAAAATATTCCCTAAGTTGTAAAAACATTCACCTATAGAACACCAAATCCTTCTTAAACTATTTAGTTATAAGAAGTTTGTACCAATATTTGTGTAAATGGAAATTTTATAGCATTAGTCATAATACTAGAAAGGTGTGAACAAAAAAATGGAATAGTTTAAATAAGTGAAGACAGTCATTGGTACCTTACATTTAAACACATATATTTGTTAGTTCACAGTATTTCTAATAATATTTATTATAACCCTCCCCATGCATACACACAGAAACATAAAGTCATTCACATATACACACACGCTGGACATTCACCAACATTTTAAGAATAGTTATTTTTGCAAGTTGGTTTAAGAGTTATGTTCATTTCTTTATACTTACTGATGTTTTACAAATGATGATGTTTTACTGTTGTGATCAGAAATACATATAGAAACAAACTGAGTGTTCTGGGGGGCCTGGGGGGATGGGTTAGACTGGTGATGGGTATTAAAGAGGGCACGTACTGCAGGGAGCACTGGGTGTTATATGCAAACAATGAATCATGGAACACTACATCAAAAAAAAAAAAGAAATATATATATATGTACTTCTATTTGTAATAGTTTAGCAACTTTTTCAAAAATCTAAGCACAGTTTAGTTCTGACACTCACCACCCAGAGTTAGCACAGACTCCACAAGTTTAAAGGTACAGTCTCCAACAAGACTGCCACCACTGAGGATACCAGCCCTAAGTTCAGGGAATCCCAGGTCACCCACACTTCTGAGCAACTGGCTACAAATTTGGGGGTTCTCATCACCCTCTCAGGTTTGATCATTCACTAGAATGACTCACAGAATTCTAAGTGCTACATTTACAATGCAGGTTTTATTATGAAGGGTAAAAATCAGGACCAGCCGAAGGAAGAGACACCCTGGGTGAGATCTGGTTTCAGATTTGAAATTTTCATGCCTCTTTCCTGTGGAGTCAGAATGCATCCCCTCCCAAACTACTGATGTGTTCGCCACCTAAAAGCTCACTCAAGCTTCAATGGCCACAGTTTTTATTGGGGTTTCATTATGTAGGCATGGTTACTTGAATCATTAGCCAAGTAGTTGAACTAAATCTCCAGCCTCTCTCATCTCCCCAGAGGTCAAGAGATAAGTAAAATATAACATAGCTCAAAATATTACCCTCTTAATTCACATGGTGATCTTTTGGCATGATCAGCCCCCATCCTGTGACATCTCCTTAGCATAAATTGAGGTGTGAGCCAAAGGCCCACCATGTTTAATAGAGACACTCCCATCACTTGGGAAATTCCAAGGCTTCAGAAGTTTCTCCCCAGAACCTGGGACAAAGGCCAGACAAAATCTTTCATATAAAACAACACTAAGTTACATGTAACAACTGAAATTGAGTAGTCATCACTTCCTATGGAAATTCAAGAAAATGATTAATAAATGAGAGATTAATCAAAGCCTAATAAAATTTATTTTTTAAGCAGGGCCTGTATACATTCCTAGGACTATAAGCACATTAACTTCTATTTACTCAGCATGGAGTCTTGTGAAATAAAAGGTTTATAAAGTGTGAATGCTCGAAAAATACCAATGTTTACATTTATTAAGAGTTTCATCAAGGCTTTCAAATAAATCAAATGTAATATTACACATATTATCTCATTGGAATATATGCCATGAAGTACTACACTAATATAGATGCTACACTAATATAAATAAAAAATAACCTCAGTGTTTATATCTTGGAGATGTAATGAATATTGTAATTTTTAGACAATGTCTTTAACTATAATTGTCTGCAATTTTTAAAGTCCATTACTGGATAAATCCATTCATCTGAATAATATAATTAATGTCACTATCCTACTAAAATCTAAAAGCAAATCCTGTATACATGTAAGATGTGCTCTAACTCATTTGTCTTTCATTTAGCTACAAATAGGAAAAAGCCCTCCAGCAATGCCTCCATTTTCTTTCTCCTAGTTCTTTCCAATTTGAAACTCATTACCAGCAGCCCTTGTAAAATCATGTCTGCTAGAACCATAGTCACTGCAGAATCAGTGATGGGGAGTTATTGATGTCAGCTTGAAACCCAGGGTGAAGTCTTCACCAGGGATGCTTAGTAATGCCTGTTAATGGCTAAATGGCAAGCAGCTCTTTTATGCTACACTTGAAGACGGACACTTATTCTTGGTCTCTTCACCAGCTGGTTTATTTTATCTAGTGAAATTATGCTTGCTTGTTGAGGTTTTGCTGTGTGCCAGGCACTGTTTTAAAAGTGCTATCTGAGGGGGCACCTGGGTGGCTCAGTCGTTCAGCATCTGCCTTTCCCTGGGATCCAGCCCTGCATCGGGCTCCTTGCTCAGCAGGAAGCCTGCTCCTGCTTCTCCCTCCTTCTCTGCCCCTCCCCCCGCTTGTGCTCTCTCCCTCTGTCAAATAAATAAAATCTTTAAAAAAAATAAAAATTTTAATAAATAAAAGTGCTCTCTGAGTGTACTGTGTCAGTCTTCACAACAGTTCTGTGAGGTGGATGCAGCTCTCATACTGCCCATGACACAACAGATAACCCAACAGCAGAATAGTCACTCAAAGTCACATAGCCATTAGGGATACCTGGGATCTGCGTATCTGAGCCAGTGTGCTGGCATACATCACTTACCAGCCACCAAATCTACCTTCCTCCAAGTATCCTACCTTTTGTACAAAGGATATCCTCTCCCAGCAGTTATATGTTAAACCCAGATGGTCAGTTGTGGTAGATGGACTAGGACTTCGCAGGAACTAGCTGTTTTTCCTGCCCTTGGTAAGAAGCAGAGGAATTGTACAGACAGTGACCCCCTGGTTTCTTTTCTCTCCTCTCACTGTTGAAGGTACTGGAAACCGTCAGAGCCTAAGGTTTCAATTTGCATGTGCAGATCTCCAAGACTTCTGCCTAGAGAACTGCAAGATTGTCACACGTCCAAAGGCTCCCTTGCCAAGAGGCCAGGACACATTCCAGTAAATACTCAACTGCAAAAAGCTGACCATTCTCAGTTTTGTGATTAAAGTTTTAAATATCCATGGTGTAGCTCTAGAGCTTGTGGTTTCATTGAGCTTTGCCTGCATGTCACTGTTTACAAAGGTGGAATTGAAGAGCAAGATACAGCGCAGCTGCAATGTCGGATGCAGCGAGGGGTGTCCCATTTAAATGCTCTCTTGCTGTTGGAATGTAATTTATGCTATCAGGGCTGCCTCGCAAAGCAGCAAACCACAGCTTCACCAACCTCGTCCTATCCAACCCATGTCCCCTTTCCCTCTTTATTAGGTTCCAGTTGGCTTAGATTCCCCTGTATGCAGCTTAAGCCCTAAAAATGCAGAAGACCTTTGGAATTAAGAGTTCTTGCAACCATATCATGCTAACTTCTTGTGGAGACACAGTTCAGTTTTCTAATCTGAATTCCATCTGTTGTAAAGCCAATACCCAGTCTCTTGTCAACCTATGGCACTTTCTGTCTTTTTTTTTTTTTTAAAGATTTTATTTATTTATTTGAGAGAAAATGAGAGATAGCACGAGAGGGAAGAGGGTCAAAGGGAGAAGCAGACTCCCTGCTGAGCAGGGAGCCTGATGTGGGACTCGATCCCAGGACTCCAGGATCATGACCTGAGCTGAAGGCAGTCGCTTAACCAACTGAGCCACCCAGGCACCCTAGCACTTTCTGTCCTTAATGAGTGATTGGGAATCTGAAAGCAATCTACTGGATGTTAAGGGAGGATTAAGTTACAACATTCATGCTTGTACCAACTGGAAATTATCCTGCCTTATGTAACATTTTGGATAAAACTATATGGTAAAATTTTATAACAAAGGGAAGAGAATTTGAGGTGGAAAAGGAAAAGAAACTAGCATCTCAAAGGAGAGGGGAGGTAAACAGATCCTGTGAACACCTGCAGCTTGTGAGACAATGTGTAGGTATATTTTACTTTGATGTTAGTTGCTTTTTAAAACATTTTTATATATATATTTTTTAATTTAAAGATTGGTGTATTTTTTCAAGTTGTTAATCACTTAAATCAGATTTGAATTCTAAGCTCTGCCTGGCATGGTTGAGAACTGTTATTTTTCTTTACGCAAGATCACCCTCAAACATGGCCTGAACACGGGGGCTATATTAAAAGTACAGATTTCCAGGCCTGGACCCTCAGAGATACTACTTCATATTTGGGGTCCAGAATTCTATATTTCTTCCTTCAAGTTTTTACCTTGAACATAAAAATATTCAAATCTCTATTTTTACCTAAATTCAGCAATTGTTAAAATGTGCCGCTTTTGCATTATACTGTACTATTTGCCACTATAGATAGTTGAACAGATGATGGATGCATGGATGGATAATTCCCTTTTCACTAATTCCATCACGGTTTCTTCATTGTTTACAGTTCCCAGGATTAATGTAGAAAGGAACAACAGATATTTAGTTAGAAATTTATATGCAACATATAACTGTCAAATAGTTCTTTTGTATTGTGAAATCATGTCAGACACATAAATCTGCATATTTAAACATATATGTATCTTTTAAAGACTAGTAAGAACCCATCACCCCTGTTCTCACCACCCTGTAAACTAAAGCATTAGGAGAAACTTCAAGCCCCTGTGGGCCACAATGACACTTGCCCCACATTTTCCTGAATTTCATGTTATTCCCTAACTTTTCTTTAAAGTATGTATTCCCCCATGTATGTATCTGAAAAAAAGTGTTCTGTTTCATTTTTCTACATTTGGACATTCTTAAATGATATCATATATGTGTTTTCCAATGACTTGCTTTTATCTTTTTGTTTAGTGTCATAATTTTGAGATTCATCTCTCTTGATGTATATAGCTATAGTTTGTTTTCACTACAGTATACTCTTGCATCATAGGAATGTACCAGAATTTATTTGTTAAGGGGCACCTGGGTGGCTCAGTCGGTTAAGCGTCTGCCTTAGGCTCAGGTCATGATCCCAGGGTCCTGGGATCGAGCCCTGCATCGGGCTCCTTGCTTAGCAGGGAGCCTGCTTCTCCCTCTCCCTCTGCTGCTCCCCCTGCTTGTGTGCTCTCTCTGTGAAATAAATAAAATCTTAAAAAAAAAAATTTATTTGTTCAGTGTACCATTGATGGACATTTGGAGTGTTTTTTTTTAATTTTATTTTATTATGTTAATCACCATACATTACATAATTAGTTTTTGATGTAGTGTTCCATGATTCATTGTGTGTAACACCCAGTGCTCCATGCAGAACGTGCCCTCTTTAATACCCATCACCAGGCTAACCCGTCCCCCACCCCCCTCCCCTCTAGAACCCTGTTTGTTATTCCGAGTCCATAGTCTCTCGCGGTTTTTTTTTTTTTTTAATATGAACAGTGTGTCAACATTTTTGTATGTATCTTCTGTAAACATGTACAAGAGTCACTTGAGGGTATTATTCCCAAAAGTGTCCAGGATTTATGGTTCTAGAAACACTCATTTTCTAAACACCAGAGATTACCATCTTTGAAGGAATAGGATCAATTCCATGTACTCCTTTGGCCGGCAGTTCGGTCTGACTTTTTGATGTGCCCTAGAATACTTTTCTTTTTTTAAGATTTTATTCATTTGAGAGAGAGAAACAGAGAGAGCACAAGCAGGGGGAGGGGCTGAGGGAGGGAAGCAGACTCCCCACTGAGCTGGGAGCCCGATGTGGGGCTCGATCCCAGGACCTGGAAATCATGACCTGAACCGAAGGCAGAGACTTAACCATATGAGCCACCCAGGCGCCCCCCGCCCCCCCGCAGAGTACTTTTTTTAACCTTTAGGACACATAGGACTTTGTACAACTAGTTCTAGTTCCAGAAGTGAGTGGAAATGGTGCAAGACCGGTGGGATTCTGATCCACGCTTGGCAAGACAGTCATTTGAGCTGGAAATCTACATACTGGTTTATGTCATGGTGGTGTTCATTGAGTCAACTCAGTATCCATATTGACAACTGTCTTATATGGTAATCTAAAGTTTCTTTGACATACCTCATCTATATTGGTGGCTTTCTACTCAGCTCGAACTACACAAATGACCCCATTTTGTAATCTGATAAACAGAATGACTTATTAGAAAGAAAATCCAAAAGAGGGGCGCCTGGGTGGCTCAAATGGTTAAGTGTCTGCCTTCGGCTCGGGTCATGATCTCAGGGTCCTGGGATCAAGCCCCGCATCAGGCTCCCTGCTTGGCGGGGAGCCTGCTTCTCCCTCTCCCTCTACTGTTCCCCCTGCTTGTGCTCTCTCACTCTCTCTGTCAAATAAATAAATAAAATCTTTAAAAAAAAAAAAAGAAAATCCAAAAGAAACTTTGAATTTAGAAGTACTTGATTTTAGGGGTGCTTGGGTGGCTTAGTCGGTTAAGCATCTGCCTTCGGTTCAGGTCGTGATCTCAGGGTCCTGGGATTGCATCCCGCATTGGGCTCCTTGCTTGGCACAGAGCCTGCTTCTCCCTCTCCCTCTCCCTCTGCTGCTCCCCTTGCTTGTGCTCTCTCTCTCTGTCTCAAATAAAATAAAATCTTAGAAAAAAATAGAAGTACTTGATTTTAGTAGGGTTGGCCATTTATATATGAGAGAGATAATTAAAGATATGGAAAGTACTCAACCCTTTGCCTGACATTAGATAAGCATTCAGTAAATTATAGCCTTTGTTGATGTTGTTCATTGTTAACATCCAGAACTCAGAAATCCTAAAATTCCTTTCTCTGATAATAACTTTTTTTTTCAGTCGTGAATGAATTCATGAAATCTCTCCCCCACCCCTTGTTTCAAATCTCATCTCAACCTCTGGTTTACTTCTCTTGAGTTATACTCATAATGTTTACATATACATACTGTTTATTTAAATAAAATAAACTTCTTCTGGCCTCTTCCTAAACAAAACACGCCTCTTTGGAGCTTCTGACTCCTACCCTCCCCAGTCCGCACCACTTCCCCACCAGCTTCCTCTGCAGTTCAGTTAATGGCACTGTCATCAGCTCTGGTACCCTGGCCTGAAAACGGACGCTCATCCTTCGCTCCTCTCTTCCTTAGTCCATCAGCAGCTCCTGTAGGTTCTGCTCCTGACCACTCGTCACCCTCTGCAGGGTGACCTCCCCGGTCTAAGCCAGCATCGGTCTCACCCGGATTACAGCTGCCATCCCATCCTCACTGCTTCCACTCGTGCCCCCTCAAGAGAAAGTATAAATCAGCTCTCATCACTCCACTGATTAAAGTCCTCCAGAGACTGCCCAGCGGCAATTACAGCAAATCCTAAACATTTTGCCTCGCTTTTCAGGTATGATCAGACTTGTCTCCATCTCTTCACTCTGTTCTCTTCAGTCCTTGTGTCCCAGGCACACCTGACCTCTTCCTCACCCTTGGGTACCCCAAGCTCAGTGCCATCTCGGGGCCTTTGTACGTATTGCCTGTTTTCCTAGAACTCCCTACATTTGTAGTGTCATGCCTCCTTTCCTGGTTCAAACAGCTCAAAGGTTACCCCCTGAGAGAGGCTTTCCCTGAACCTCCTGGGACCCCATCCATGTTTTTCCTAAACTTTTTACTTTGTTTTCTCTATGTATCTGTACTATCCAGATATAATCTTAAATATTTGTTAATGTGTTTTTAATCTCACGCCACTAAAATACAATCTCCAGCATGATGGGCACCTGTTTTTCTGGTTTTTACTATATTTTCAACATCTATGTTAGTACCTGATACATAATAAGTGCTCAGTAAATATTTGTTGAATTAATAAAAATATGAATGAAATGTAACTGGAGACAAAAAAAATCATAAAACCTGTTACATGTATCACTAAGTAATAATAGTAACTATATATTATCTATCTTAAGGTATTAAAATGTTTTATTTTTCAGGACTAAGTGGAATTCTTCAAAATGTCAGGTAAGATTTTATGAATAAATTTTAATATGCTCTATTTTCAAATGTGAATTTTGTGATATTTTCCGTAAAAATTGGAGTTTATTTCCTTTTGAAGTTATTTTTTTATTGTTGTTTAGCATTTGGAAAAAACATATGTGTTCATTTATATATATGAATATTTCTATCTTTGACAGAAAAGGATTAAAAGGGATTTATATTGGCACATATGTACTGAAAGATCTCTAAAGTATGTGGGGAGAATTAAGTAAAGGAAAAAGTAAGAAAGTAAGTCTGCAAAGAGGGGCAGTACTAATAAGAAGCCTGTGGTGACAGCCTGCTCACATAGAGAAGGGCTCAGAACCAGGTCCTGCATTTTCAAACAGTGCAGAAGATGATGGAAGGAGAGAAACACCACATTTATGGGATTTGTGTTTTTCAGAAATAAAAATCAGTCAGTTAAAAGAATCAGAATTTTTCCTTGTAGTGAGTACAGGGAGACACGTCTCTGATCACAACAAGGGGACGAGGTAGCATCATGGAAAGTGAGTTCGCGCCCTCCCTTGCAACAATTACAGTAACCAAGATCACTGTCACTGGAGAGGTAAACTGCCTCTAACTGAGTTGTGTGTGACACCACTGCATTTTAAGCCATTACGTATTTATTGTGTGATGTTTTAAAATCATTTAAACACAGTCATTTTCCAAAAAGGATTAGGGACAAAATAAGATTCACTCTACATATGACTGTGTTCTCCATATTATATAGTGGGGAAAAGAATTTTTGCTAATGTGCCAGGAGTTTATGTAGGTAGGAATCAGCATGAAGTCAGCTGAACCACTAGCATGAAAGTGTGTTGCTTTGATCATAGCACAATATAAATAATTGCTTAGTTTGTTTTTTTTTAAATCTATATTCAGCCTGAAAATTCATCAATATGTATTAATAGGTTAATACCTAATATACATAATGAATTTTGTGTCTTTTAAAAATATGAGTGTATTTCATATTATTTACATTCATTGATAAAAAAAATGAATTTGGGGCGCCTGGGGTGGCTCAGTCGTTAAGCGTCTGCCTTCGGCTCAGGTCATGATCCCGGGTTCCTGGGATTGAGTCCCACATCGGGCTCCCTGCTCGGCAGAAGGCCTGCTTCTCCCTCTCCCACTCCCCCTGCTTGTGTTCCCTGTCTCGCTGTGTCTCTCTCTGTCAAATAAATAAAATCTTTAAAAAAAAGAAAAAAAATGAATTCTATCACATTATCACTTCCATTGTAAATCATGTCCCTTCTACCTCTCCTCCCAAGGTGTGGTCCCCACAGCCCCTGAGCAACCTACAGATGAAACAGAGAATCAAATAAAGTCTCCTCATCCAAGGCCTGATGCTCCTCCTGACTACAATTCCCATTTTGTACTAGGTGGGTCAAATAATCAGAAAGATTATTTCACCTCTCCAGAAAACCATACTAATAGTTAAGATTGCTTTTAAAAGTAAGTAAGTGATTGAATGATTCAGTAAATAAGTATTGAACGCCTCCAGGATGCCAAGTAGTTTACTAGATGTCCATTAGAATATATTTGTAGGCTACTGAGGAAGGAAGTTGTACAAACACTAAAGGCATGCTCTTTGCTTTGTTATGAAAATGTGAAGAGAATGTTGTAGGACCAGGATGACAGTAACTGACTCTACCAGGGATTTGAGGGAAGGTATAACTGAGGAAGTCCGATTTTTCTGGCTTGATGAGTTTCTCACTCAAAGGAAAGGAGAAAGGGACTTCTTTCTAGCAGAAGGAACTGTAGGTACAAAAGTACAAGGTCGGGTGGGGGGATGGGGTAAACTTGTGATGGACATTAAGGAGGGCATGCGATGTAATGAGCAGTGGATATTATATAAGACTGATGAATCACTGACCTCTACCTCTGAAACTAATAATACATTATATGTTGATTAATTGAATCTAAATTAAAAAAAAAAAAAAGCCCAAGGTCATGAAAGTCTGTTAGGAGACATGCATGGGACAAATGCAAGAGAAATGGAGGTGAATGGCCTTGAGTGCTGATTAGGGAGTTCTACAAATATTTTTATAAGTCTGAATGCACTACTGGTGGTGACTCAGTGAAATGGATACTCATAATGCTAGCGGAAATTTGACTTATAGTCTTTGTAGAAAGTAATTAGGCAATGTGTAAAATTTTTAAAATTAGAAATATGCTTACTTTCGAAGTAAGGAAGGAAATAATCGGAGTTGTATGAAAATACATTTCAGTGACCTAGAAAATGATAGATAAGGTGTAGCAACATTTCTCTAAATATATAGTTAAGTGTATATTTAGAGGTGGGAACCATTGAGTTAGTCTGTGAAAGAGGAGAAGCAGCCCCAGTACCCACAGGATAATGGTAAAAATGTTGTTTTGGCTCTAGACAAAAGATTGTGGAGCTCAGTTAACCTCTGCCCTTGCAGTGTTTTCTGAAAACAGCAGGGCTTCCTTTTCCCCTTTGCCTCATATATGTGTGTATCTGGTCCAATATAACCCCTCATTACTGGCTCAACTCCTGCTAAATCCAAGGTTTTGACAGTCCTAAATTATAATCGTGCTATATCTGACCATTACTCTAAATTTACTTCAGAACATGATCTACATAATCTACTTATGTTCATGGATCACTCTATATCCAATAACCTAGATTCCACTAGAACAGAGGCTCTACCATTTCTAAGTAACATTGGCTATAAGTCATGTTCTGTTCATCTGGGAAAGTGTCTATTCCTCTCGTATCAAAAAATTAGCAAGAGCATAGGATATATCATTCAAATCAAATGACTAGATAAGTTGAAAAACATTATGGTGCAGAGCACAGAACTGCATTTTCAGTTATGAAATACAGGAAAAAAAATTCACTGTGATCGCCACCTAGTGGCTGAACTATATACTTATTTGTGATGATTGTTGCAAATTATGGCCCTGTTAATTCACATGAAGGAACTTGGAATACTATAAAGTATTTGGCTTTAATTAATTTCTCTAAAATCAATTACTTAATTTCTATTAGCATTATAGTACTGGACATGCATTCCCACTGAAAATAATTTTGTCCCAAATATGTTTGAAAGAATAGCTAATAAAGACACTTTTGTTATACGTAATCTATTTAAAGAAAAGCAATTGACATAATTTTGTGAAATAAAAAAGGAGGGTAGTATTCAAAATAACTGAGAAGATACAAATCCCACAAAGAGGTATTTTTCACATTAGTATTGGTAGGACAAAACTCCATAACAGAGTTCTTTTTTAAATAAATCTGGGATATTATAGTTACACAAAATTAACCATTTTGCTTTGTTTTGGTTTCCTACAGAACCAATCAGAATCCTTTATGGTAATTTCAAAGCTCAAAGGGGAATATAATATGCTCTTTACCACACATAATTTGATCATGTTTGTTCCTTCAGTTCTCTTAACATCTATGAATAATACATATAACAAAAATCATTTGATTACATAAACATGTATATAATTTTTCTAGAAATATCTGTACTGATATGATCTAAATTATAATTTTCTAATTTATTGATCCTCAAATTTTATTACATGAGGTACTTTTATGTTAAAATCACATGGCTAAAGATGGCAGAGGAGTAGGGGACCCTATTCCAACCGGTCCCCTTAATTGAGCTGGATATCTACCAGACCACTCTGAACACCGACAAAATCAGCCTGAGATGTAAGAAGATATATCTGGATCTCTACAAACAGAATATCACAGGCAGTTGGTTTCAAGGTACGAAGCAGGGAGCCATGATTCCCCGGGCAGATTTTGGAAAATAAACGGAAGGGGGGGGGAGCCAAGCCGATGGGATCCTACACCACCGGTGAACGATATAGCCTCCTGTGCTGGGGAGAGGGCACAGGCTCGCAGACTGGTAGTGGTGGGGAAGGGACTTTAGGGCAGCCCCCTGGACTGAAACCTGGAGCGGCAGGGCCGTGCATGCGAACTGGGGGTGGCTGGTGGTTTAGAAACACAAAGGGCAGAGACATGCCTGGACCTGGAAGCTGAGGGGTGCACAACCCAGAACGCTGCAGTTTATAGCAGCACAGACAGAAACGGAGATAGTGTGGCCTGGAGAGCTCACTGAAGAACAGACTGTGATGTCTCTGCTCTGAGGCAGAGGGTTGGAAATGGTCTCTTCTGCTCTGACTCTTGGAAGAGACGCAGAAAGCCACCAGGCAAAGCCGCCAGAGAACAAAAGCCCCCAAAAAATGGTTTTCACTGAGCCCATCCCCCCTGCACAGGGGGCAGGGCAACTCCGCCCAGACAGGGTTGCCTGAGTAACAGCGTGGCAGGCCCCTCCCCCAGAAGACAGGCTGGGAGAACAAGAGGCCGACAGTCCTAAGGTCCCTATAAATCAGGTGCATCTTGCTTGGGTTGTGGTCAATAATTTGGACTCTGTACATTCCCTCAACCACCCCTCAACAGAATGACTAGGAAGAGGAACCCCCAAAATAGGAAAAACTCAAGAGACTGTAACTTCTGCCACAGATTTATAAATGGATACAGATTAACCAAGATGTCAGAAATGGACTTCAGGGTAGCAGTTATGAAGACAATAGCTAGAATGGAGAAATCGATTAATGGCAACATAGCGTCTGTAAGGGCAGAAATGAAAGCTGAACTGGCAGAACTGAAAAATGCTATCCATGAGATCCAATCTAATCTAGATAATCTTAACAGCAAGGGTAAGCGAGACAGAAAAACGAATTAGTGATCTAGAAGACTGATAGAAAAGAAGGAAAAGAGGAGGCCAGGGAGAAGCAACTCAGAATCCATGAAAACAGAATTGGAGAAATAAGTGACACCATGAAACGTTCCAATGTCAGAATTATTGGGATCCCTGAGGGGGTGGAGAGAGAGAGAGGACTAGAAGATATATTTGAGCAAATCGTAGCTGAGAACTTCCCTAATCTGGGGAATGAAACAAACATTTGTGTCTTAGAGGCAGAGAGGACCCCTGCCAAGATCAAGGAAAACAGACCAACGCCCCGGCATGTAATAGTAAAACTCACAAATCTTAGAACCAGGGAAACCATCTTAAGGGCAGTTAGGGGGAAGAGATTCCTTATGTACAGAGGGAGAAACATCAGAATAACGTCAGACCTATCCACAGAGACCTGGCAAGCCAGAAAGGGCTGGCAAGACATAGTCAGGGTACTAAATGAGAAGAACATGCAGCCAAGAATACTTTATCCAGCAAGGCTGTCATTTAGAACGGATGGAGAGATACAGAGCTTCCAAGACCAGCAGAAACTGAAAGAATATGTGACCACTAAGCTGGCCCTGCAAGAAATGTTAAGGGGGGTTCTCTAAAAGGAGAAAGACCCCAAGAGTGATATAGAACAGAAATTCACAGAGACAGTCTATAGAAACAAGGACTTCACAGGCAACATGATGACAGTAAATTCATATTTTTCAATAATCACTCTCAATGTGAACAGCCTAAATGCTTCCGTAAAACGGCACAGGGTTGCAGATTGGATAAAAAGAAAGGACCCATCCATATGCTGTCTACAAGAGACTCATTTTGAACCTAAAGATACATCCAGACTGAAAGTGAAGGGATGGAGATCCATCTCCCATGCCAACGGACCTCAAAAGAAAGCTGGGGTAGCAATTCTTGTATCAGACAAATTAGATTTTACTAAAGACTGTTAGTTAGAGACACTATATCATTCTTAAAAGGTCTATCCAAGAAGAAGATCTAACAATTGTAAATATCCACGCCCCCAACATGGGAGCAGCCATCTACTTAAGCCAACTGTTAACCAAAATAGTCATATTGATAACAATAGGTTAATTGTAGGAGACCTCAAAACTCCACTCTCAGCAACAGACAGATCATCTAAGCAGAAAACAGAAACAAGAGCCTTGAACGACACACTGCACCAGATGGACCTCATAGATATATACAGAACATTCCACCCTAAAACAACAGAATACTCATTCTTCTTGAGCGCACACGGAACTTTCTCCAGAATAGACGACATAGTCACAAATCAGGTCTCAACCCATACCAAAAGATTGAGATTTTTCCCTGCATCTTGTCAGACCATAATGCTTTAAAACTAGAACTCAATCACAAGAAAAAATTTGGCAGAAATTCAAACACTTGGAAGCTAAAGACCATTCTGTTCAAGAATGTTTGGGTCAACCAGGAAATCAAAGAAGAACTTAAACAATTCATGGAAACCAATGAAAACGAAAACACATCGGTCCAAAACCTATGGGATACTGCAAAGGTGGTCCTAAGGGGGAAATAGGAAATACATAGCCATCCAAGCCTCACTCAAAAAAATAGAAAAATCCTGAATTCACCAACTAACTTTACACCTTAAAGAACTGGAGAAAAGGCAACAAACGATG